TGGTAGGGAGACCTATCATGGCCACGTTAAAAAGAAAGGGGGATAGGACTGACCGTTGCAGCGTACCTCTGCTTCCCAGACTAATTTCTTGGGATTCTACTTTGCCTAGTATTATTCTTGCTATCCGGTCGGTTAAAAAGTCTTTTTATATAATCGTATACTCTTTTTTCCCACCCCTCACGCTTGAAGATTGGCAAGTATAGCTTTATGTGATGTATTATCGAATGCCTTTTTAAGATGTAGGCCTACTATTACCTTTGTGTCGTGCGTATTGAGACCCGAATCAATTATTTGGTGTTTAATCTTAAGCATAATGTCCTTTGTTGACAGTTTCGCTCTGAAGCCTACCATCGTATGAGGAAAGAGCTCATTGTGTTCCATATAATTTGACAGGCGAGTTAGGATGACATGCTCTTATAACTTTCCAATGCAGGATGTCAGGGAAATAGGCCTAAGATTATCAAGATCTAGTTTCTTACCTGGCTTGGGAATCATTATAATTGCTGCCGTTTTCCATTCCTTGGGTAGCTTACCGTTTTCCCAACACTTGCTCATATATTCGGTGAGGGCTGTGATAGATTTGTCTTATAAACTTCTGAGCGTTTTATTCGTGATCCCATCGGAGCCCGGGGCGGATGTAGTGCTGAGTTTCATTAGTTCCGATCGTACCTCGGCCTCTAATATGGGTCGGTCTAGGGAATCAATTTCTTTACCTCTGGACGAGCTTCATTGCTCTTTGTTTGTATCCCCAATGTCTCTCTGTCTAATTTCTTCAATCAGTTCTTCCTCTGTGCCTTTGTATTTACGGACAAGTCTGATAAAGCTTTGATGTTGTGCTGCCTTGCTCGCTTTCAAGTCTATCAGACATCTTAACAGGTTCCATGTTTTAGAGAGACTTATTTGTTTTTCCTTCGCATCACATTTTTCCTCCCATTGTTGTCTGCATAGTTCCTCAGCGTACTTCTCAATGTCTTTACTGAGGGTGGCTATTCTTTTTCTATGCGTTTGTTGTGTTTTAGTGTTTTCCACCGTTTGTCTAGGCTCGTTTTTGCCTCCCATATATGTAGGAGTTTACTGTGCTGTCTAGTTCTTCTGTTTTTGGTATGGTCTTAGTTGCCATTTGTATATTTTGGTTAAGGTCCCTTACCATTCATCTAAGTCTTCGATGAAATCACAAGCTTCCTTCTCTCAGATTTTTCTAAATTTATCCCATTGAACCATCCTTAATTCTTTGCCTCCTCATTTACGTGGACCTACCTTAAACGTGGTCTCAATTATATAGTGATCACTGCCCAAATTTGTTGTGTGTTAAGCCAATAAGGTTCGATGATATTCTTAGTAAACGGGATGTCAGGAGACGTGTCATTGGGTACGCTGTTTCCAATCCTAGTTGGGAAAAAAGGGTCGGTTATTAACGTAAGGCCCTCCTGTTGGGCGTCGATGCAGAGATTTCTACCTTTGAAGTTTTCTTTGTCATAACCCAATACCGCATGCAACGCGTTGAAATCTGCTACTATAACCAGTGCTTGCTTTTTAGTAATGCTGATCGTTTTTCTGAAAAGTGACCTAAATTTAGTTTTTTGTCTAGGGCTGCTATAGAAATTTATTATGAATAGACTTTCACCACTCTTCTGCGATGGAACTAACTCAACAAGAACATGATCGACATCGCAGATTTCTGTAACATGTTCTATCACTGTGAGATTTCTTCGCACGAGGGTTGTTACGGACGTTTTTTCATCAGGGGTACCATAGGATTTGTAATTCGACAATTTAGCCATTCCTCCAGTTTACTGTAAGGTGCTGACGTCTGGTGCGTTCTTTCCGTTGAGGAACTGCTCTAAGTTACCCCGTTTCCAGTGATACTCACGACAGTTCCACTGCAAAATTTCATACTGATTAAGTCGTGCCATGTCTAGGAACGGTTCCTTCCCCTGCGATTTTGATTACTTCGGTCGTAGTCGGCCGGTCGTAGGGTTTAGTAGTAGTTTTAACCGGGCCTGCTCCTGTAGACCTCAAATCTGTTTGCGTGTTCTCCACCAGCGTTAGTCGATTTTCTATGCTATATATTCTTTGTTTTAATTCTACGAGCTGCAGCTGCAATCCCGCGAATTGATGTTGCATTACATTAGTAAGTTCTTCGAGCATATCCTCGACTTTCTAATCCAGGGGTTTTGAGAGGTCTTCATTTTCGACAGGAGATGTTTCCTCTGCTATTCGTTTTGCTGCATGCACTCCTAACTCCTGTGCAGGCGCTGGAGTTCAAATTCGACTACACGATGCTATGAAGCTAGTTGACTCGTGCAGCTGATTTTGCCTGAGTTTAGCGTTCTCTTGCTTTAGTTGTTATATTTCGTCCCTCTGTTTTGCGTTTTCACGGGTGAATTGCTCTAGCATTTTCTTAATATGGTTTAGCTCTTGACCTAGGGTGGACCTTTCTGCCACAACCCCAGGCAAACTCCAAGACCGGAGAGACTCCCCTGATACCTCGCCCATCAAGCTCACCATTTGTCGACTGCCCCGACCGCCGCCAGGACCCTCGTGAGACTGTCATTGAGGTGATGTCGTTGCCCGTGTCTTGAATTCGGCCCTTGATCTGGATTTGTTTTGACGAGTGGACCTTGATCTGGATGTGGATCTGGGTTCGTGTTAAGTTCCTTCTCTTTCCCCTTCGGCGAGTCGCGGGAAGGAGCTGGAACGATCTCTGCGTCGTCCTCCTCTGTCTTGTGTGGCGTTGCCATTCTCCTCCGTTGAATTTTCTGGTGAATACTATTCCCTCCATGCCTGTGTTGCACTAGGGTTCGACAAAATCTTCTCTTCTCTTTGTTCATCGCCTTGTCGTTGTTGCTTTTCTCACCATCTTTTCTTCAAAAAATACGGGGTCCTAAACCATTGTTTGCATTTTTTGACCCCTGTAAGATGACCTTTCCCCGCAAAGGCTGCACCTAGGGTCGCACTGGTGGTTTTCAGTTGGATTGAGCACCCCACAACTACGACATTTCTTGCGGTCAGGCTGTGGGCAGACATCCGCCTGATGTCCAATTCATCCACAAGTAGTGCATGTTTCATATTGCTTCTTGTATAGGAAGCACCTATATTCGGCCCCACGGTAGTATGCAAAATACGGCACAAACAACCCTTCGAAAACAATGACCACTAATTCCGTAAGTCCCATACGTCGTGCATGTAGAATCGTCGAGTTCCTCTGATTGACCAAGCTTTTTTCTATGTCTTCTTGATTATAATACTGCGGTATTCCGTGGATAACCCCTTAGGATGCGTCTTCTGGTGCTGTTACACAAGCGGCTGTAGCGTAGATCTTGTCATGGATACTAATTTCCTTGATGTGGCTATATTCGTTCGCATTGGCCAGACTAGGTGCGCTCATGTTCATGAAATTTTGTCGCATGTTGATTCTGAGAGTATCTTCCCCAGCAATGTCAGGCTGTACTTTTGCCGCACATAGAGCAGTCTCTTATGAGCGCTAGACTCTGTCGCATCAAGTCCAGACCTCCTCCTGGGCGTATTACAACCTTGTAATTGTCTTCTGGTAGTTGCGGTTCTTTCGGCACTGGCCGGCGATGCAAAAAATCCTTCAGTCTCCGAGACGCCTCCTTGGACGCACTTCCCGCGTTCATGGCTGGTACCGCGTTTCTGTTGTCTTTTACCATCTTGCGTCGTTCATGGGCCACAACCCATCCTTGAGTGTCGTTGTACTCTTCGGGAGACAGCGTATCCCCCTCAATTTCCACAAAATCCATTTCGCAGGCTTTGAACAAGCCGGGGGCTTGGCTTGTCGCCTAGTTGCCAGCGCGGCGATGGCACTGCGTCGGCACTGCGATGGCGTAGCTAGGGCGACGCCGTTAAGGGATCTTAAAAGAAGTGTCACGGCTCAAAAAAAAAGTAGGCCCATCTGATATCCTGGCATCGGACAAATCGCGTGATCGTCTGGCGACAACTGTGATGGTCTTGAATCCCGTGGTTGTCCTTATTCAGCCGCGAAAATGAAAAACTGGCAGAGCCCGTTCGAGAGGCGTCCGAGTGGCTCGGCCCTCTAGCGGCCGACCCCTGATGAACCGATTCGAAAAATTTTTGTAGCAAAATGTTCCTTATTGGACACCCAAAAACTTCCACTGTCTAACTAAAATTGAGTATGGGGCCTGGTAGTGGCCCTTTAGGCGAATGCATTAGGGCGTTGCCTATGTCTCGCCCAGCGCGTGATAAAACAGTGAATGCTTGGTGCCCATGCCACCCTCGTAAAATTGTCAGCTCCCACCAACAGAGAATTGAGGGAAATATATTGATTTCTGAGAAACTAAACGCTAACCTTTTATGCGCCTAGAAAAATTTATTGTGACAGGCGTGAGTCAGTGACTGAAATTGCTTTATTTTGTCCACAATGGACGATGGGTAGGCCCACTCGGGGTGGTCAGGCTAAAGCTGACAAACAATTAGTATGATGTCGAAACATACTTTATTTATATGAACAAGGATATAAGATTACGTGGAAAGAACATGTATATTCGATGGTTCACAAAAACATTCTGAATGTAAGAATCAGTATCATTTTACTGGGACTGGAAAAAAAAAAGACCCCCAGTGGCGCACTGCGCCGGCTTTTTATACACGCGTCGTAACGCGTTCCAAAGTGGCATACAAGATAAACGCGGCCTGCGTTGCGCTTAACAGAAAGTGATAGCGTCTTCCTTCGCAAACGAAAAGAACCGCACGTGTCAGTTTTTTATACACGCGTCGTAACGCGTTCCAGAGTGGCATACAAGATAAACGCGGCCTGCGTTGCGCTTAACAGAAAGTGATAGCGTCTTCCTTCGTAAACCAAAAGAACCGCACGTGTCAATATACAAATCACTATTGATAATTCTGGTCATAAAAATTTCCACGTAATTTTTTCCGAAAAATTGCCTATTGTCCGTAACCCTTTTTATCGCCACAGCGATTTCTTCAGCAAGAAATACTTATGATGGATGTGGTTCTGTCAGTTTCAGCAGCGCATGGACATGGGAGCGAAGGCCACCTCGTAGCCGAGAATGGACAAAGTGGGCTAAGTAAGGACAGTGCTTCATTTCCATTTCAATTTATGTGCTAGCTGTTTTTTATTACTTAGAAGGGACCTTGCAGCACTTTTTTTAAGATTACAAAATGCTGCCGATCACTAATCGAGGCTCCAGAGGACACGCAGGCCGAATAATACAGTGAAGCACGCGCCTTGACATTTAAATAATTCCCCAAGTAGCTAAAGATTGCTCTTCCTTTTATTGGAAAATCACGCTAAAGACTCACAATCATTATTTCCCAGTCCAAGTGCCAGCCATATGCATATTGTAGCATGGTACGCTCTGTCGGTTCTAGGGCCATTGCAAGAGGTTACGACTTGTCTGTGCGTGCGCCATAGTCGTCTTGAAGAGCCATGCGTTCTAAAAAAAGAATAAATTAAGGGGTAAATATTTTAAAGTTCACGTGATGCAATCCCCCTCCGCCCCAAGTTTTCTTGCTCAGCTTCCAGCATTTTCTTCGAGACTAGAGAAGAAACAATATTTTTGAAGCGTGCGACAAATCTTTGTAACTCCACTCGTACTTGAGGAAATATGATAACTATTTCGGTCGTGACTTCGCCCAGAAATAAGCTCATTTTAGTGGAATAGTTATATGGCTACTTAAAAAAGTGCTTCAGGGCCTCTTTAATCCAACAACACTGCGAAAAAGTTCTTGTACACAAGTGATTCATTCTGCACCTCGTACACTAAGTGAGACTTTTGTCTTTTTCATACTGCAGGCACTTTCTCTGCCGACTTCCAGTTAAGATAAAAATATCTGCGTAAAGTGAAATCATACAAAGGGTTTGCTTTAGTTAACTTTCGTAATAGGCTTGGTACCAGAGCACACGTTTAGTTTCAGATAGTTTCAAACGGAGATAAATAAATGTCGAAATTGTATAGAAAAAAGATTACATGTTGTCATCTTCATGAATTGAATATATAAGGATAATTTGAGCATCGTAATAACCACAATAGGGCACCCTAATTCTCTGAACGTGCCACGTAGACTTATCGTTGTGTATTTGTGTGGTACCAACAGTCATCGAGATTTATCAATTCAAGCTGATGCTATACCATGAGTGATGCAAACATGTCATTACTTTCGTACAGTGTTTCTTGCCTTTCACCGCTCTATAGAATATAAAAATAAAGTGCTCGTTAACTTTTGATCTACTATTTTACGTGGTAAGGCTAGACGTATATAAAGTTACTAGTAAGTATATCTCACTACTGCCTCAGAAACAAGAGTATATCCTTTTATCAAAGTTTTGTTAGTACACACAAAAGCACCAAAGAAGTAGGATATCTTCTTGTAGTGCCATCATCAACATCATCATCAATTCCTGACCACCGCACAACTCCTCTCGCGCAGCTGAGGCTAGCTTAAGCTAAGGTCCCTAGATGAACCTTAGCTCGAGCTGCGCAAGAACAGAACGAGCTCACGCGCCTTGCGTGTCCAACGCTGGCAGCCGCTGCGGCTCCGCGTCAGGCCTCAAAGTGGGAAGATCGACGCGGCCGCATCGGCCGCCTTCAACGTCATCTCACGCCTCTCCTCCTCTCGCCCGCTACGGTCTTGACCCGGAGACTGTACCCTTTGACGAGCCATCAGCTGCCTAGTTCCCACGATTCTGCCCGCCAGTGCGCCGTTCAAATCGACCTACCCCAAAGTATGGTACTCAGCTCGACGCCGTTCTTGCGGTGAATGGCGTCACGAACCAGCCACTGATGGATGCCATTATTATGACGCCCTTCCGGTAGAGCTGCGTCATCTCACTGCAACTTCAAGCTCCAGCCCGCCGCTGCACGATGACCTTTGATCTGCGTTGCTTGCCTGCTACAGTCTCACCCACCGCCCACTTCCGTTTTCTCGCCGGTTTTAAGTTTTCTCTGTGTCGCAGCCTGCGGTACCCTCCGGTCAGAAGCTCTCCACTGACCGCGATCTAACTCCGCCAACAATGTCTCTTTCCACTTCTGGTCCGGCCACTTTCCCAGGGATTCTCGCGCCTGGCCACAGATCAGACGAGGTTTTTCAAGACGTTCCTGCTGACAGCCCATCATAAGGTGTATTTTTAAGTGCGAAGCATTTCTTAGTGAACTTCGGCGACATTGAGCGTATCTATCTATCTATCTATCTATCTATCTATCTATCTATCTATCTATCTATCTATCTATCTATCTATCTATCTATCTATCTATCTATCTATCTATCTATCTATCTATCTATGTGTCTATCAATCTATCTATCTATCTATATATATATATATCTATATATCTATCGGTCTACGACTTTTAGCTCTCCTGGCCGTTTACATAATGCTATCGATATCAAACTTGGTATGGCACATAACATGACTGTATGAAAACACATTTCACTAGTCCCAACATGAAAATCATGGCATGTATGTCATGAATGTCATGATTCACACTTCATGGTCTTGCACCTGTTGCGGTTGTTTCATTCACATGACATGTTGTGTAACTGGTATGGTATGCAATGAGTGCATGGCGAATACAAGAGACAGACCCTAACATAAAAATCATGACGTATGTGTCATGTAACAACATGACTAAATGCCAGGCTCAATATGCGCTGGCGGCTGTTTCGCTAGCTTCACCTATACTAAATTTGGTATTACGGGACGTGAATGAATTACGAATGTATGCTACTGGTGCAAACATAATAATCATGACACGCGTGTCATGTACCAAAATGACTACATGATACATTACTACATGACTACAACAACAGGAGCCTGTATTCTGCCGTCATCAATGATGTTACCAGCACCATCGACATGCCACCTGCATTCCCCACCAGTCTCAACGACATTTGTCCCGATGTAATGCTAAAACAGCTGGCCTAGACCTGTTATACAAACGCACCACTCTATTTTCCAGACATCTTGGCCCAAGTGTGCGCAATAATTGTGAGCACCGCATGAGCTTGAGTGTGTGCCAATTTCGTTGCACAGCACTGCGGAATTTTTCGGCCGAAGGCTCGTTTCCACGGATTCAAATTTGCTCGCTCCTTTTAATAGCGTACTCTCGTGATGGCCCTCGTCCGCTGCGTCATTTCGAGAGCCGCCCACCAGAGACACTCTAGTTCCCGATGGCCTACCCGCGTTGACAACCCGCGCTTCCCAACGGACACCTTACGGATTGCCCTTCATGTATATCATATTTGTCGCTTTTGCTCTTTTCCCATATAACTTCAAATCGCTCAAAATGATAGAGGGGGGAGCCCTCTATATTCATCATCATCATCATCATTTCATGACCAATGCGCCGCGTCTCTTGCGAAGCTGCAGGGCTAGCTCGAGCTGCGTGAGAACAGATCGAGCTCCCACGCGGTTGCCAGCGTGTTGGACGCTGGCAACCGCTGCGGCTTCGTTTCAGGCCTGAAATAAAATTGCAATATCAGCACGGTCACATCGGCTGCCTTCGACGTCTTCTCACGTCTCTCCTCCTCTCGCTCGCTACAGCTTTAAAGGAAGCCCAACACTATCCTTTAGCAGTTAGAAACGTCTCGCGTTAACTTTTAGTGCACTTAATCTACCGGCGACGTATACGCTCCATGTAACAATTGTAATGGAACTATTACATGTGGCCATTGTAACTTGTAATAGAAGTATAGTCGATTAGTCGCAAAAGAGGAACGCACAACTAGTCGGTTTACAGAAAACGTGAAAGTAAGAGTGCGACCACTTGTACTAAGCAAAACTATGACATTGAGTACACTTTGAAGCCAATAATGTAAAAAATGAGTCAGCCGTAAAGGTGTTTGAAGAGAACAAACGTGTGAGGAGAAGGGTCGTTCAACCTACTAAGTTGGGCTATGTGTGCTGGACAATGTAGGTTGTGAGTATCATTTCATCACAATAAAGGCAAAAAGTGTGAAGTTAAGCTCTTGAGACCTTTTGTCCATCCAGAGTAAGGTGCACAGTGTGTATGTGGCGCTTTGGTTCAGTGGAGGAATTAAAATAAGTCTTAGTGGCAACCGCCACGCACGTCGGTGGTGTTGGAGGAGGGCCTAGCTTGCAATATATCACTGATTTGGTTTAATAAATGTTTAGCGAAGGTGGAATTCGTTCGCTGTAAGCGTTCATCGTGCATAGGCACGTTAGCTGCGACTTGCTTTTAATTTATGTTCAATCATTTAGCACGATGTTTCATTATGCGCTGAGAATTACGCGTGTATTGAACAGTTGCATTGGCGCTACATTCAAATTTGAACAGATACGTGAGCATAATATATTGTGACTACTACCAGGCGTGTTTTTCTTGTGGGTGGCCCAACGTATGCGGGTGTATGCATCCACGCCAACACGTATTTTTAAACTACCGGCATGCTCGAGGTGTTGAGTGTTGCTGTATGCTGCTTTCGCTTACATAGCGGCCGCTTGCATCAATGCTTAGGTGTTCATGCAGCCCGTTTCGTCAATTTTGAGCCCAAGTTTTAGTTCACCCGCAACATCGGTTGCCTTACGTGGCCCAAAACTTTGCATTTGAGCCATTTGTTACACTTTAAATGTATTTGAACCAACCCTTCATGTCTAATCACGGCCAAATCACAGTACTTTAGGTAAAACCTTTCAAAAGAAACTGTAGAACACTTGTAACCACAAGCGAAGAGTTTGTACTAGGAGCGTTTACTAAGTGTCTAGCACACTTACCAGCTTTTGTAAACTTTTTACTGCGTAAGCTTGCAGACACGTTAAGGTTGCATTCTTTCGCGCACTGTTACTAGCTTTTTGCCATGCAGCTGTTGGAAGGGCCACTCACCAGAATTGATAAATTTGAGATGGCAAGTGCAATGACTACATGGGGCGTTCAGGATCATATCTACCAAAATTAGAAACCACGTAAATGTGTCAAATTTTGAGAATAACGCTGCTTTTCTTTTCGCTGGCGTGCGCCGAGTAAATAGAGAGTTTTAGTACTGCGTACGCTGCGTACGTAGCGGCGTTGCGTACGTAAGGACGCCACGTTCTGTGTAGTGCGCATGCGCA